CCCTCCATGGGCTTCCGACTACCCTTGCGGTCGGCGGGTGGTGTGTGTGAAGCGAATCGTCGCGCGCGTTGCTTCTTGTTCTTCTTTTTTTTAGCGGAGCAGTTGGGCGCCTTGGCGGCGTCCTCGTCCCGCTTGGCCTTGCCGTCGAGGCGATCGAAGATCGCTCCGGCTGCCTCCTCCCCCAGGCGTGGTGGTCGCGATGTCCGAGAGAGTTCCTTGGTTGTTCGCGGGCTCCTGCGTCCCGTTTGTGAACTAAAGACTCGCGGTCGTCCCGATAGGAAGGCTCCTATCACGTCGGCGTCGGCGACGTTGGGAAGCTTCGTTACCTTTGCCGTGAAAGCGCCGGATGTACTCGCGGAGAGTCTCACCGGCCTTCCGACGGCGATTCTTAAGGTCCCATGGGTTCCGGGGCGTTTGTATGTGCCACAAAATTTCCCAAAAGATTTCCCTCAAATCCATGGCCCCTGTATGGTGTTGGATGGTAGGTGCTCCAACCATGCTTTCGCGCCGAATCGGCCAAAAACGATGGGAGGTTGCGAATAATGAAGTGGTCATCATTTGCGCCACCGGCTTGCGAACAAGCCGATAGTCTTGAGCGAGCCGGGGGTTAGTTTCACGGAATATTTAGGAACGTTGGTGGTGGTCGATACCTTGATGGGAAAGCGGCGTTGAGGATGTGTCGGCCGAAGGCTTGAGGTCTGGGGCCGGGGCTCGGACTCGGTCCTCGCCCATGTCGTCGTAGCGTCCGCCGCCGCGCGGGGTGGTAGCCATGTCGGCTCCTTCTCTTGAGTCGTTGTAAGCGCGCGTCTGCGGGCGTCGATGGTGCTTTGCTGTCGTCGTCGCGGTTGTGGCGAGCGTTCATGCACCGGGACTATAGCGTCTCACTTTGCCGTCTGGTGGCGTTTGGTGAACTGAGCGCATCTTTGGCGGGGCCTTACCGAGGCGTCTGTTGGGCTGAGTGTCGAGCTCGCGTCGCCGAGACAACGAGCTCTCTCTTGTTGTGCGCCCCTGCGTTCGAGCAATGTCTTGGATTTCTCGGCGGGCCCGCGATCCTCGGACGTCGCGGCCTCTGGGAGACCGTGAAGTAAGGCCGTTCTTGGCGGCGATGTTTTAGCTCGCCCGGCGAAGTGTGGGGAGAGCCCGTCGTCGATGAGGATCCTTTGGTGTACTGGCCAGGCGCGGTGGTGCGTCTTGCGCCCACCATCTCCGTGGCGTCTGATCTCCTTATTGACTTTCTCGTATTCCGGGCAAGCTGTTGCCCGCTTGTGATCTCCTCCTTTGGGCTCTTAGCTGCTCCACCCCCACGTGGGGCGGGGGTGCTGCTCCTCTTTAGGTTGCCCGGCCCGAAATCCGAATCTGAGGTAGTCTCCTCCCGGAGCGCTTTCGGCGTGTCCCTCGGGGTTTTGCGTCCAAAGCATCCCGGGAAGGGCGATGGCTCCCCCTATGGAGTCGGAGCTAGAGGATGACTCGGCTCTTGGCGAGGAGTTTGTGGAGAGACTCCATGTCGTGTTCAATCACCCCCACGAACTCGTTGTCCGTGGGCGTTAGAACCATGTGTAGTGCGGAAAGATGGCTCGTGATGCGCTGCAGCGGTGTTGCGGAGACCGAGCGGAAGCGCCGTCGGGGCGCTCCGTGCGTGTCGTTCGGGAGATGTGTCTCTCTCGGAAAGGTCGCGCCATCTTATCGCCGTTGGCGATGGCGGCGATCTTGCTTCTCCACAGACTCCCATGGTCCATGGGAGGCGTCGGTGACGCCCAAGCCTCTCATGGTAAAGGCCGTTGGAGGAAGAGATTGGATGGCGGCGTGCGACCATGACAACTCTCCTCCCCCATGACGATGAAATCCGAGCTCCCAAAATGCACGTGTGCGCTTTGGGACCCGACTAATGTCGTGGTTAGCCATCCGCGGCTGGTTTGGAATCAGCAAAAGCCCCTACAGGCGCGCCAACTGTCGGTGTTTGAACAAACACGGCGGTGAGTAAATTGTAATTGATGCGCGTTAGGCGGGATGGTGCGCTAAAGGACACAAGGGTTATCTTGGTTGGGCTGAATGTCCCTACGTCCGATCTGTTCTTTGCTCGTGTTATTAGCACCGAATGAGGTTTAATAGTAGGGGTACAAGCGGTTGGGAGAGGAGAGACCCCAAGTCCACGATGGAGTGATTGGAAGGGCGCCAAGAGCTCTGTTGGCGCTTAGCCATGTGGTGCGTGTGTGTGTGTGCTAACTAACATTGTTGAAATCGGTCCCTTAGTGGGAGCCTGCCTCCCTTTTATAGATCAAGGGAAGCGGGGTTTTTTACGAGGGGGAAGAAGAAAACACTAAGAGCATAGAAGGTCCTTGAGGAACCGGTCCTTCCTTCTTCCCCACACTTTGATCTGCCCATCATGGCGGATCGTGTCGAGATTGAGGCGATTGTGGACCGTCGTGGGCCGCGCCACGACCTTTGTTTAGCAAGTGGGTACGTCCCATCCACGCCCTACTGGGTGGCGTGTCGGACGAGATTTGCGAGCCCCGACCCGTGTGGGGTCGGGAGGCCTTGATGTTTGTTGGTTTGCCCTTGGAGCGTAGTGGTTGTCGTATATGTCTGCGTCGGGTTCTTCGTCTGGAGGCTGAGGCGGCGCCTACAACCTTTGTGGGATGGAGGCGCGGCGCCGCAACACTGTTCGAGGCTCTCGCCACGCCGGAGGGGGTCAAGCGCTTCGCTGGTCACATCTGACGGTACTTCCTGCCCTGCGGGTGCGGGGCATGGCGTCTAACGCTGCGGTTGACCCGAGCGTCTTGTCTTACCTGCAATCGTCATCATGAGGTGCAGGCGTGGTTCGTCGGTGAGGCCCAGGCCACCCTCTGGATATCGGGCGGCGAGATTAAATCATTGGCCGTTTGGATGAGGTAAAAACCTAGTTTTTACCCGTCGGGCGAAGCGGTCGTCCCCGGCCGTCGAGCAGGGCCGAGCCCAGCCCTCGGGGGTTGGCGGTGGTGCGCATCCCCTAGGGGTCGGGTGAAGCCGAGCCCAGCCATCGAGGCGTGAGTCGCCCTCCGGCCGTCGGCGGCGGAGTCGTCCCGGCCGTCGAGCGGGCCGAGCCCGGCCCTCGGGGTTGGCGAGGCGCGCACCTCAGGGTCGGGTGAAGCGAGCCCAGCCGTCGGCGAGTGAGTCGCCCTCAGCCCGTCGGCGGTGAGTCGCCCTCCGCCCGTCGGAAGCGTGAGTCGCCCTCAAACCATCAGGGGGTAGAGCGGGTCCCAAGGGCACAGGCGCTTAGGGGCGGAACAAGACTTCCGTTTGGTCGGGCAAGAGATGTAACCGCGCTTTAGGAGTTTTACCGCTCGATGGTTCATTGATTCCTCCTCTTTGGGGTACCCGGTATTAGGTCCCCGACAGGTATCCATTCAAACAGGACTTATTGTTATTGATTCCCACGAGGCACCATGAGAATTAATTATCGGAAGCTTTCAGTTTGGGACGAGCTTAGATTTGGACTATTTGTTGCTTGCCAAATTTGATGTGAAAAAACAACATGTGTTGACAATCAAAATTGTCCCGAAAAGTTAATATGGGCTAGTCTAGAAACTTTGTCAAATCACAAAACATGTTTTACCATTGTAGGTTCTTCCGACGAGATAGTCAAAATGCATATATAGAATATCTAATTTAGAATTAGGATGAGCAAAATTACGCTGCTGAAGAAGATCCACACCGTAGAACACCGACTAAGTTGGTCTCCAAAACTGACCCGCAAATAAATCCAAGTTTATAATATATTTTGACACGATTTGTAAGTGGTTTCGACTCTTAAGGGATAAGATCACCCCCATGTACACATGATATGACGACTAAGAGTGGTGTTCTATGCTTGTCGAACAACTTAGGGCAACTCGCTTAAGGCTGGACGAAAAAGTAAAAAGTCATAGCTCACTAACTCGCTCGGCTCAGGTTGTTTACTTTTCTTAATGAGCCGAGCTAGCATTTTAGCTTGTTAAGTTAATGAGCTAGCTCGTGAGCTAAATGAGCCAACTTCATAGTCCAACAACCTAAACTAGCACCACTCCCTATTCCAAATTATAGGTCGTTTTGGCTTTCCTAGGTACACTTTTGCCATACACCTAGATATACAATATATCTAGATACATAATAAAAGTTATGTATCTAGAAATGCAAAACGTACTACCTTAAATTGGAACGGAGGGAGTAATAGTTAGGCTTGATTTTATGCTATATGTATGAGATTATAGTATAGAATTGATGTACGCTATCCATTGCACTTATTTATCTGTCTTTCTGTGTGCATACAACAAATTAGCAACTATCGATTTCTGTATAACTTGTAGCTGTTAGTGAGCTGGCTTGCGAGCCATTGCAAACGAGCCAAATTGAGCTGAACTAGAGTTTTACTAGCCGAGCCGAGTCGAGTCAACTCGTTATCCCAACAAGCTATAACGAGTCAAGCCATAGCTAGCCGAGTTTGCTTGTTATCAAGCGCTAAACTCGCCGACATCCACGGCCTAATGGGGTCCATCCTGGAAGAGAGTTTGAATGGTTCCTTTGGTAGTTTACCCGTTTCTCGTCATACAAGCACAATAGTTATCATTTGCTGGTTTGCTCGTAAACCTAACCATTTTCCACCACCGCAAGTGTGTTAGTTACCCATTTTTCTAGACAAAACCAGGAAACTATTCAGATCAATTCCTGAAACCAGCTAGGCCAATTTTTGCAGGATTGCGTCGTCTCGATTCATGTGCTCTAGCACTCCAGGGCTGAGACCAATATTTGTGTCAACACACTTTTTGTGTAGCCAAATATTTTTGCTCAAACCAATTGCTTAATTGATCTATCATCCTTGTTCATCTCTGCTTTTGCGTCTGGCCAAGAAGGCCAATTGTATTTGTTATTAATCAATTGTGATATTGCTTGCTATTTGTATATATCACCTTGTCGAAGTTCGAGACCAGCAAGAGTACTACTGCACTGTCATTGATGCCCCTGGACACCGTGACTTCATCAAGAAGATGATCACCGGTGCCTCCCAGGCTGACTGTGCCATCCTTATCGTTGATTCCACCACTGGTGGTTATGAAGCTGGTACCTCCAAGGATGGCCAGACCTACGAGCATGCTTTCATTGCTTTCACTCTTGGAGTGAAGCAGATGATTTGCTGCTGCAACAAGGTATAATTCCAGCAACTCATTTTAAATGTATGGGGGCCCTTTTAAATATGCATGCTGATCAATCCTATTAATATAGCTGTATAACATAATCCTTTCTGTGATCCTCTTTATCTGATTGGTAGGTATTTGTTTAAGTTGCAATAAATGCAAATTGCTTTGATAATAACCATCTGTTTCATACAATTTATGAATGACAGTACTCCATAAATTTGTAGCCTTATATTTTTTTTCTCGAATACGCAAAAGCTTTGCGTATCATTGTATTAAGTAGAAGAGTTTAGATAAACATACAACGCGCTTGTTTCGAGCGTCGAAGGAGATTAACCTAACACAGCCGCAGCTGGAACGTCCTAGCAAGAGACCTCTAGATTTGATATTACATTAAAGGAAACAACCAATACCGACACAACGGTGCGACCTAAAAGGTGGCCTTGCGTCTTCGCGGCTAGCTGGACCGAACAGCCGGGAAGAGCTCGTCCAGCATTTTGGTTTCGGACGCAGTCAGGTTGCCACCGAAGAGCTTGTCATAGGCCTCCAGCTCCGACGCGGATGGCGCTGATGGACCCTTGATGAAGCCCATACACTGCATGATCAACACCTCACCTCGCTTGGAAGTTGGTACTCGAGAGAGGGGCTGAGCCACCAACCGCCTGCTCCGCCACGACACCACTAGCTTAGCAGGAGGCTGCTTTGGAGGCTCACGAATCAGTGGAGAGTCCCTCTTACACGTCACTTTGTTGATGAAGCTATCGAGGCAGCGTTTGGTAGAGTCGTCGTTGTCCTCGGTCGGGTGGGTATCCACCGGCGGCAATGATGGAGCCAGGATTTTTTTTAGCTGGGGCGAACTTTATACACTTACTGCGCGGGGCTACAGGGGGCGGCGAGCCGGCGACGCAGACGAGCAGGGGCAGTGGGCAAGTGGCGGCTCTGGCCCCAATGACGGGTAGACCCTCACCCTCCTCGTGGACCTCCTCCACTCTTCCCTCCATCGCCGGCTCCTGCTCCTCGGCAAGCGCACCTCAGGCGTCTAGGCAACTGGGTTGGGCTGGGCACCTGGCGGCGGCCGGCGGGCGAATGGGCGTCGTCGCGTGGGGCAGTGGCTGGCCGGCGACCGCTAGCGGCTGGCGGCGGCCTGTGGGATAGCGCGGCAGGCGGTGGCTAGCGCAGCCGCCTAGTGGCGACGTGTGGTGGCTGCCGGCGGGCGGGCGAGCGGCGGCGACCTGGAGTGCTCGATGGGGATTGGGGGATTGCGGTGCGGATGCTCGATGCGGACTGCGGACAGGGAGAGAGGCGTGCGGCCCTCGATTGGGGAATTGGAGAGCCAAATTGGGCCCTTACTGGGCTAATCAAACTGACCAAACAAAGGCCCAATGTCTTAGCAGCTTAGCAGGAGTCTTCTTCGTCCTATCGTTGCCTTGTTCGTCGCCATGGAGCAGCGCCGCAGCTTGCTCGGCAGCTCGCGTCCTCGGCAGTCGATAGCCGGAGATAGGGAAGAAGAGGGGGTCCGGGGGTCCGAAGCTACGCCGCCGGTAGCTGGGGTGGCCGCCCCACCCCGCCCCTAGGGCAGCTCTGCCAGTGACCGGCGGTGAGTCCACTGCCCAGTGAATGGGGCGCGGAGGTGGTGTCCGCAACGCACAGGAGACCACTGCCTCTGGGTCCTCATCCTCCAGCTGAGGGGCCGTCCCTACCGAGGCCTCATCTTGGAGCTAGGGGGCCACCGGAGGTGACAACAGGCGCTCAAGAGAAGGCCACACGACGATCTGACTGCTGGCGAGTGAGGTTGCGAACTCCTCCAACATCGAGTCCTCCGTGATGTCGCGACCATGCGTGGCGTCCGGGTACAGCGTCAGCGGGTTAGGCTGGACAATGCCCGTCTCGCTGGATAGCTCACCGTGTCTAGGCTGAGCTTCAGGAGCGACCGAGATGAAGGGCGGTGCTGCCTATGCGGCCCCTACCGACCGCCCGTTATGCCTCGGTCTTCGGTGCCGGCGACCACCGGTGGCAGGAACGGCGTTGCCCGACTTGACCCCACTAGAGTCCTACGAGCCACCATGGTCCACTGGCCCAACGGAGTAGGCGTTACGGGTGCCACGAAGAGGGTGTTGCGGCTGGTGACCCATGGCTCTTGCATCGCCCGAGCTCTGAGAGCCCAAGCGCCTTGGCTACTTGCAGTCACGTGCAATGTGTCGAAATCCCCTGCACCATAGACATCGTTAGGGCAGCTTGCAGGTTGCCACCCGATGCATGGAGGAGAGGCAGTTAAGGCACTTGCCGTGAAGATCTATGGGATGTGCCTCGGTGGTCGACAACTCGTTGTTGGCCTCCGCTTGCTGGCCCTTGTGGCTCAGCCGAGGCGGCCGCAGGTCGTGTCTCCTACCGGTGGAGGATCTCCCGCCACCCATCGGCGTTGGGGACGGAGACCCATCCACGGCGTCTGAGGCGCTGGTGTGCCGGGATGCGGCCCTCCACTGGCCGAGCCAGCATGCCGCACAGCAGCTGTGGGCGCGGCCGACTGTGTTTCCCCCACCTTCGCCCAGCACCCTGGAGACCCGTCGCCGCACCGCCACGGCCCGACGTCAAAGGTTGGGTGTGCGACAAGGACATCATAGGCAGCGGCGACGTCCTCAGTGGCTGCGGCTCCCGGCGAACCGCGTCCAGGTAGGGGGTCGTGGAGGTGGCTTCCGCATCAGAGTCGTCGAGGAGGTCGTCGTCCGCCCAACGACGGGCCTTGGAGCGTCCCGACGCGCTACCCCCGGGATGGAAGGGGGCAGCTTGGGAGGATAGGGTGGACGACGGGCTCAGAGCGGGGGCGGACGGGTGGACGAGGAAGGCGTCAAGGTCGGAGGCAGCAGGGGCAGCGCTAGCCCCTGCTCCGGCTTCCACGCGCTGTGCTACAACGGAGGGGCCCGTGGCACCGCCTCTCGGCACCGGCAGTGTGCGCGGGGAGCTGCAGCTGGTGCTGGTCGCCGCGGCGGCGGGGCCCAGCGTCGGCAGTGGCGAGGACGGAGAGGGAGTCTGCAGCTGCACTCTGGTGAGGGATCTGACGGTGGTGTGCTCGGCTACGCCCACGGCGGCCACCCCGACGTCGGCAGCGGCACGGCCAGGTCGGGCTCCTGGCATCGGCGGATGCACGGGTCGGTGTCGGGGTGGGGAGCGGAGGGGAGGTGGATGGGGAGGGGGATGTGGAGGGGGAGGAGGTGGCGGGGTGCGCCTGCTGTAGGGAGACGGCCGGCGCCGTCGCCGGCGGCGGTATCATCAGGTTAGGGTTGGACTGGGGCGGCTTAATTGAGGCTCTAGGGGTTGGGAGGGGAGGGGAGTTGGACGAGGAGGGGAAGTGCGAGGTGGAGGCGGAGGAGGCGCAGGGTCGGGTCTTAGGGTGGGTGCGGGTCGGGGTCGGGTCGAGTCTAACACTCAAGGGCCCCGTTCACGTGCCCTTAAACCCAGCTTGATCCGCATCTTTTTTTATTCGGAACAGTGTTTTTCTCTCACAGATTCCTCCAGATTCATCCAAATTTCTCCAGATTCCTCCAAGCGAACGGGGCCAAGGCCCGCAGACCGCACTTTCTTTCTTGCAGCCTTATATGAGGTTGTTATAAGTTTCTAATTGTGATTTTGATTACGACATTATGTATTTCAAGTAACATTTTTGTCACATGCTTGTGGGGTCTTTACATTATGTGCTGTATAATTGGTCACTTGGATATGCTGACTTTGTACCTGTCCTTGTATTATGGCCTGTGTCCCTGAACATTATCTATGTCGTGTAACTGAAATGTTTTGCTGCTGTTCGGTTTATAGATGGATGCCACAGCACCCGGGTACTCGAAGGCCCGTTATGATGAAATTGTGAAGGGCATCTCTTCCTTCCTCAAGAAGGTCGGCTACAACCCTGAAAAAATTCCTTTCGTTCCCATCTCTGGTATTGAGGGTGACAACATGACTGAGAGGTCCACCAACCTTGACTGGTACAAGGGGCCAACCCTGCTTGAGGCTCTTGAACAGATCAACGAGCCAAAGAGGCCCTCGGACAAGCCCTTGCGTCTTCCCGTTCAGGATGTGTACAAGATTGGTGGTATTGGTACTGTCCCTGTTGGTTGTGTCCAAACTGGTGTCCTTAAGCCTGGCATGGTTGTGACGTTTGGTCCTAGCGGCCTGACTAGTGAGGTCAAGTCTATTGAGATGCACCACGAGGCTCTCCAGGAGGCCCTTCCTGGTGCTAATGTGGGCTTCCATGTGAAGAACGTTGCTGTGATTGATCTCAAGCGTGGTTACGTGGCCTCCAACTCCAAGGATGACCCTGCCAAGGAGGCTGCCAGCTTCACCTCCCATGTCATCATTATGAACCACCCTGGACAAATTTGCAAGGGCTATGCGCCAGTGCTGGACTGTCACACCTCCCACATTGCTGTCAAGTTTGCTGAGCTCCTCACCAAGATTGACAGACGATCTGGCAATGAGATCGAGAAGGAGCCCAAGTTCTTAAAGAAGGGTGATGCTGGTATGGTGAAAATGATTCCCACCAAGCCCGTGGTGGTGGAGACCATCTCCGAGTACCCTCCTCTTGGTCGTTTTGCTGTCCGTGGCATGAGGCAGACAATTGCTGTTGGAGTCGTCAAGAGTGTCGAGAAGAAGGACCCGACTGGTGCCAAGGTGGCCAAGGCTGCTGCCAAGAAGAAATGATGTGCCCGCTTTGGGGCACCATAATGCTTGACTATCACATCGTTTAAGAACTGCTGTGTTATTTTGGTAACATACTGGCGTTGTGAATTATGAGTATTTGGATTCTTATAAGTATATATATTTCCTACATGAGGTGTTATTTTCTTGGTTAATCTAGAGATTTGCTTGGCAATCTGGAGTTTTGATTCTGTGTGTTGTCTTCTGCCAGTGCCTGCTGCACGAGCCTAATGAGACAATGCAACTTAACGAATACTTGGAACATGGAAATGACTAGTTATTTGGCGCGTTCGTTTGCGAATTGTGTGATATGCGAGAAAACTGTGGTAGAAAGACGAGTGGAAAGATCTTTCCTACTCTGTTGTCTGTGTGAATAAAGCATTGGGAATCCAGACCCTTATTAGGATTTAGCTCAATTTCTGAACGATGAGGGCGACAACGGCGCAACTTCCAAGGGGGAGGAGGACGGAGCAAAATGTTTCTTCAAGCGAAAAACTGACCGTTTCACCCCCAGCCTGAAAATTCTTTTTTAGCATCACGTGTCCCCCAAATAGAATTACCACCGAAATTCGTGAATGAACAACGTCAGCCATGAGCAGCAAAGTGAAATCTTGGGGTAGATATCTTGGTCTGTCCAAGTGTGATGGCTTGAGAACATATTCTTGTATGATTAATGTTGGTGTTTAGCTTTGTACACCTAGAATAATGTAGCTTATGATGAAGGATTGATAATTTGATATGGTACCTCTGTGTCTGTGTCTCAAATGGAGTGACATGATCCCAACCTCTAGCAATGAGCCCAATGGCCCACTAAAATGCAAGCCTAAGATCAGTCTTAGTGGAGAGTTTTATTACGTTGTTTCTAAGACATGACATATAGAATGAAATGAAACATGGATGAAACACTCACTTTCAGTGTAAAGTTTCATTCCATGGTTTCATAGACATTGAATTCTAAAGTTTCATCCCTACAAAACCTATTTCTTCTCTCTTCACTAAAATATGGCCTATGTCATAAAAAATGCTTATGTGATAGGCTATTAAATATAAATGAAACTCTCATAGAACTCCCACTGAGACTGGTCTAACCTAAATGACATCTGTGTGGCTCGTGTGATAAGTTTTGGGACCTACCTAAATAACACCACCATATAAATTTAGAGCAACTCCGAGATACTCTTTATATTTTTTTATAATTTCTTGGAATAGATATTTTATGTGAAAAAATACACTCCAACAGCCTGTCTAAATGGATCTCAAAATATAGACATCCTCTATTTCGGATTTATCCGTAGCTAAAAATAGAGAGTAATGATGGCTCTCTAAAATACACACAAGAAAAGATATTGGAGGTACAAAGATTTAGAAAGCGAATTTTATTCAAATGACTCTTCAAATTATGATTTAGAGGGTAAATTTTAAAAAAGACTCTTAGATATGCTCTTAGTTATTAGATCTAACATGTCTGTGCATGTTGTGGACGTCTACGTCGTACTGTGTAATTCTAAAAAGAAAAAAACTGAGTCAGACATGTCTAGAGTGTGTCGAAACCGATTTAGATTAATATCGAAACCTGCACTAATTTAAAGACCCATATAAATAAAAAAATGAAAATTTATAATTTGAACGACGATGCCTCTTGAGTTTAGGAACCACAGATCTATTTTACTCAAACCATGTAACGCGCTGCCAATATTCCTTTAGCACACTGCTAATGTACAAACACTACGAACAACCGCGCCAAGTTCTACGGCTCCACAAGGCGGGCCACGCACGCGATCCCCTACTATGATCAGTATTGCACGACGGCTGTCCAGAGGCCAGGGCTGTCTGGCTACAGAAACGCGGTGGGCGGCAAACGGCGCGAGGTAGGGCACGTCGGCCGCGCCGCGAGCCAGCGGTCAATGCAGCGCGCGTGGAAGCCGTGGTTGCAGCGCGGCAGCACGCGCACCGCCTCCCCGCGGGCGAACTTGGTGAGGCAGATGGCGCACTCCGACCGCGACGACCCGGCCATCTCCAGCCCCGCCGAGAACGCCAGGCACGGCAGCGCCTGCACCAGCGCCGGCGGGAGCCGCCGCGGCTGCTTCCTCCCGGCCCCGCGCCTCCGCCCGCGTGCTGCTGGACCTGCTCCTGCTCCTCGGGGTCGTCGTCGTCGGCTCCGCCGCAGCACGCGCCGCGCGTGACGCGGAGCGCGCACTGGAGCACGACGCGGAACGTGAGCGCCGCGACGAGGCCGCACGTGAGGAGCGCGAGGGTGAGGATCGCGTCGGAGTTGAGCTCGCCTGCCGCTGCCGGGACCAGCCGAGCGTCCGGAACGGCGCCGGGTGATGGGCACGCGGCCGGCCCCTGCAGCTGTAGCAGGAGTCGCCTGGAGTAGTGCAGCTGTGCATCCATGGCCGAGTCCCATGCTGGAGCTCCGAGGAGTGCGCGAAGGAAGGACTGCGCGCGAGTCGTTCTTGTGGGGAACAGAGGCTTGTGGTCTTGTATACAACGTGACGACTGCCGAGCGTACGAGTCTACGAGTGAGGTGCCATTATGGTTGATGAGTGAGGATAAACTATGCAGAGATATATGTCAAGTCGCTGTCTTGGGGTGCTCTATTAGTCGGCAAACTACAAATTAGAGACGGGCTTAATGCTGTGCGGCTGTAAGCGTGCGGAAGATAAGACGCACGTGAGCAGGCAAATAAGAACAGTTGAAAAATCATGGAGACACAGGAGGAGAAATACCCCGGCACGCATAGACTCTGGATCGTCTGATGGGATCACGGGAGGGCCGGAAACAAATTTGAGGAGCCAGCGTAGAAGACAAGGGAGGGCGAATGATAGACAGAACAGCGAGCATATCCGCAAAGCGACCTGCTTAAACTAGAATTCCCGTGCCTTTTAAACTAGAATTTCCAAGGCAAATCCTAACCCCCGTTTTCTCTTCGAATGTGCCAACAACTCGCAGGCATGAGGCGTCAATGCACCACCGCACCCGATGGGTTCCATTTCCATCATTCCGTGACCAAAAGGACTCGTGGGGAGCCAGCGTTTTTGGGATCCGAGGGCCCCGCCACTAACCACGACTCGCCGGCGCACGACGGGGCCGCACGTGGCCGGCACGGCAGTGACTTGTCAATGTGTGGCTGGCTCGTTCCGGCCATGTCAGGCAGTCCGGACGTCCGACGTGTCTATGCCGGGGGGGTCTCCGCGGCTCCCGATTTTGCCATACCATGCGGGCCTGCGGCTCCGGCTGAGTTTTGTTGGAGGCGCCCCCAGCATGGGCCGGCAACTCTGGTATTCGGCTTGTGGGTTCTGGTACTCCTCGTTTTGGGCTTCAGGTTGTGCGGCTTGGTTGGGCTGCCAGGTGTGGTGAGGGCGTGACAGAACTGCACATTTACACCACTTTTTAAAAAAAGGCAATCAGGCATCGAGCGAGCAGAGAGACGGCACGAGCAGCGGAGCACGCGGCCGCATCGCCAGCTCGGCCGCTCCTGCCTCCTTCCGACGCCCGGCGCCCGCATCCGACGCAGCCGCTGCCCGCCCCACCCCCAGCTGCAGCCGGCCATCCACCGCCGACGGCGCCCCCAGCCCCCGCCCCGCCGACGCCCGCAGACCGACGCCCGCAGGCTTTGCCGCCGATGCCCGCAGGTGGGGTTTACCGCTGTTGATCAACTGGGATTAGGGTTTAAGCAGAGACTGAGGTTTTGGGTACTATCGATTAGTGGGATCGTTACACTGTTTGCGTTGTGTAGCTGTTTGTCGCGGTCAATCGTGTTGGTTTGGTTGGCAAGGTGTTGCTTATATCCTTTACTGTTTCATCGCAATGGGTTCAACTGTATGATGATTTCCGATGCTAATTGTTTTACCCCTACCTTTTGGACGATTGATTCTGAATGATGATTTCATCATTGTAGGATTTTTTTTTTTTTGATTTTCGGCACAGCTTCCTTGACTTAGCGCTGACCAGCGATTTCATCTGTTGATTTCAGATGCTAATTTGCATTGGTTGGTTGACCTTTTTTTTGTGTGAGCATGATTCCTAAATGCTTTATTTGGCCTGCTCAGGGAATTTGAGCTTTGGTTCTGGTCCGAGAAAGAAGTTTGGTTAATTTGGTGGTGCGTTGGCCTGAGTCAGATAGCACACTGTATAGAGGGTTTAGTTAGGTTTGCTTGTTGCATCTAGACATGCTTCGGTCTTAATCTTGGAGTTGGTAATATGTGTTATTGACCATTATGGTTGTGATGTCATTTTACCCTGGAATTTTGTTTGAGTTCAACCTTTCAGCACTGTTTGACCGTTGCTGCATCATGGTTTTTCGATATTAGAATTCAGTTTATTCAACTGTGGGCCAGTAGTGATTGCTGGTATAAAATGGGTGATCTGTACATTCTTGAGGAATGTACCTGGGCCATTTGTTATTTCTCAAAATGGAGACTGAACTGTGCCAATCTGTACATTTTATATTGTTTGCAATTGGAAAATTATATGTCGCTTCCCTGTTGTAGTTTGTTGGGTAAAATAAAATGATTGCTTTGTTTAAACCGCATTATACTAGAAATATCAATTGACTATATATGTTATTCATCATCATCAATCAAGAGGTCCTCTTAATATTCTTATTCTTCAGTTGTGATACCTGAGCTGTAGGACACGGGAGGACGCCCCTTCCGCATGAACCCAAGTAGCCAACGGCACCTTATCACGCTGCACAACTAAGAAGCAGTGGTAATGTCCTCTCCAGTCCTCATCTACCCCTTGTGTGTCGCCTTGTCTGAGAATCAAATTATCCCCTAATTTAATCGAAATTTTTTCTCTTTATTAATGAAGCGGGATGGAAATTGCAATGGAGGATTCGGTGCTATGCACTACTTGTCTTCAATTGGTGAAATCAGCCAAGGAGCACCGTGAAACTGAGGGTCATAGAAGTTTCAGATATCCTATTGATGGAGAGCTCAATGTTACCTGTCTTGCATGTAATAATATCTTCAACTATTTCAGCGTAAGACAATCTTTTACAATGATTTGTCATATTACCCTTTCAGATTTCATTTTGCAATGTGATTAATCTTAGACTCCGCTCCTTTTTAGGAATTGGAAATGCACATTGAAGGGAACAAAGAACATGTGAAATTCAAGGAGATGAATGCCGATTGTGATGTAGATGGTGAGTAATGCTTTAATCGAAGTGATTAAACTTTAAGAAAAGTTGTTATGTTTAAATTCTAATACTTTAAAGCATTTAGAAGTGAAGTATTTTTCTATTGTTTTGATTTCAGTGATCTTCTCGGTAAAGAAAAGCAAGCTTGCTGACCTTGAGAAGATTAGCTTGTTTAAGGATATGAAGGAAGAATTGTTCACCCCCATGAAAGCACCTCAGAGAAAAGAGACTTCAGGATCACTAGCAGGAGGCTCAGAGAGTTCAGGATTATCAGCAGGAGGCTTGGCGGGCATGGTCGAAATACTGGTTGCAAGACGCAACCTTGAACATTTGGGTCTCGGGGAAGAACGGATGGAAGCAATAAGGAAAGGATATGTTCTTGTTGAAGATCACCTTAGAGATGACTCCTTACACATCATTGATGATCGGTTGAAGAGATCAAAGTCTGTGAAGAAAGTGGTTGAGTTTGAGTTAACCAATGTCCATGCTAAAGAAAAAGACAAGGAGTATGAATTTCATCCACTTTTGAAGCAAGTTTGTTTGAAGGAGCTACATTTATGCAGTACTAAATATGAAAGTTCAGCGAACAAGGCTAGGAGGATTGAGAAGGTGCTAACAGGAATAAGAAACTTGGTGTTCTCCAGAAAAAGTGTTTCCCTTCGCGAGATCTATTACATTCATCCACAGTTATATTCTGCCCATAGCCAGAAACTCTCCAATGTTGACGTGACTGATATCAGCACCATGATGGGACTCACTATTCAAAGTCTCAACATTTTTACGTCCATGACAGGTACTGTCAAAGGACCTCTGCTGCTATTTATAGGTGACAAGATATTGGCTGAGCCCCGAATAGGGGGCATAGCTGGTTGCAGGACCGAATTTTTTATAATTTGACCCTTTTTTAAAGAAAATTTATGTTTGGCCCCTGGAAGACTTAAACTCATCTTTGAACCTAGGGGGTCGGCGCCCGGAGTCATGGCGCCGAGCTAAAATGTCTCGGCACCACAGATCTTGGCTCCGAGGTGCCTGACCGTGCACAGCAGGGCATCCTAGGTGGCGTTCACGTGGCCAGTACCTTGGCGCCGAGCTCGGCGCCACAGATCTTGGCGCTGAGCTCAGCGCCATGTATTCTGGCGCCGAGCATGGATTCAAGCGTGTGGCCGCCGCAGCTCTCTCTAGCGCTCTCTTTCTCCATCTCTCGTGCTCTATCTCTCCTCTCCCTCTCACCGCCGCCGCCAGTCAGGCCCGCCGTCGCCCGCCCCACTACTGCAGTTCACCGCCCGTCGTCCCCCGCGCGCCGGTCGCCTCCCTCGCTCCCCCATCCGCTCCCTTAGCCGTCCTCGTCGCCCCAGAGCTCCTTCCACGCGCACCGATGGTGAGGGCGGCCCCTGCTTCTCCCCGGAGGGCCGCCGGCGTCCGAGTCAGGCGGCTACCCCGCCCATCCCCCTATCGTGGCTCGCGAGGACGCCATCGGGCTCGAGGCCGCAGGAACGCCGCCCACCCGACCCGCCAGAGCCGCTGCCACCCCAGCCAATTACTGCCGAGCACTCCAGTGCCACACCGAAGCAACGTCGCCGTAGCTGCTGCCGCACCGGCCCGCGACGCCGCCTCGGACCTCGCCGCGAGCCAACACCGTCGGACCCGCGCCTCCTCTCGCGGCTCCCTCGGCTCCCAGTGACCCCACCGCCCCTAGTGACGCCACCGGCTCCTAGGTTTTTTTTTCTTTAGTTTTTTTTTAATTGAGTTAGTTTAGATAACATAGTTATTTATTTTATATAGTTTTATAGTTTGGTAAAGCTTTTTTAGTTATTTAGTGATTTAGTGATGTTTATTTAGCTAATTTAGATAGATAGTTATTTAGTGATTTAGTGATGTTTAATTAGCTAATTTAGTTAGCTAATTTAGGTAGATATTTATTTAGCTAATTTAGATAGATAGTTAGATAGTTAGGTAATTTAGTTATATAGGTAGTACTTGTAGTAGATGTAGTTAGATAGATAGGTGGTTTAGATTAGATACTTATTTATTTAGGTAGAGAGTCGAAAACTTTTATACGTAAACCTGTAATAATTTTGGTGTTGTGCATACCAACTAGATGGACAACGTAGTCATCCTGTATTATGGAGAAAGTGTGGAGGAAGATTAGTTTGGAAATGTCAGTTTTGTTGGAATGCAAAGGGTGCCAGGTGCCAGTGATATTTGATGATCAGCCATTGTTTTGTGAGTTATTTGGTAGGGCTCGTGA